TATTCATCCTTTGCCCATTTATAGTTTATTTATTTATCTCATTAGTTAGTACTCAATAGTCCCTGAATACCAATCCTTTTGTGATTATAAATCTTATGAAACATCTCTTAGTCTGTAACTTATAAGTTGTAGAATGGTTTACAGTGTTTGTTATATAACAGGATTTTACTATTTGGTATGAGATAAAGTGGATGTTTAAAACTTTCAACCACTTATTGGCAAGTCCACCCATTTTTACCCGTAAGCACTTCTAATATATACCAAATTCCGATAAATATGTGGGTCTAGTTCTGGGCTGTGTTGTCTATTCTAATGGTCTTTTTATCTTTCCTTGAACCCATACCACACTGTTATAATGCGTACAGCTTTATAATAGATCTTGATATCTGATAGAGAAAGTATACCCCTTTAATCTTCCTCAAAATCCTTGATTATTATTGGTCCTTTATATTTCTATGATCATTTTGAAATTGGCTTATCAAATTCACTACAACCTTGGTGTTATTTTACTAAATTACATCTATTATCAATTTGAGGTAAAACAATTAGCCTTACAATACTCAATCTTCCCTTTCATGAACATGGTATAGCTTCCCATTTATTTAAGTCTTTTAGAGCTTTCAATAAAGATTTATGCTTTTCTCCATGAAAGCATTAAATGTCATTCATTATTTATTCCTAGGTACTCAAAGTTTTGTATTATTATTTTGAATCGGAATATTATTAAAAATTAAACTTCCTCATTGATTCTGAAATATGGGAATGTTACTGATGTGGGTGCATAAGTAATCTCACTAAACTCTATTTGTTCTAATAATTTATATGTAGTTTCTTTTTAATTTTTTATGTAGCCAATTATATAACCTTGGAAAAATGCACTTGCTAAAAGTACAGAAAGATGATATTTCTGTTTTGTTTCTAGCTCTAATGGAAATGTGACAAGTATTCCACCTAAAAATGTTTGCTGTAAAATTTTGATAGATACCCTTTATCAGATTAAAGAATTTCCCAGCTATTCATGGCTTACTAAGAATATTCTGGATTCACTAAGAATTTTGTTTGTTTTTGCTTTGGTTTATTTTTAGTTTGGCTATTGGTTTATATCAAATACTTTTTATCCATTTATTAAAATGATATTTTCCCACTAATATATCATATAGTAAATTTAAAAATTTAATTTGTTCACATTCCTAAGAAAATTCCAGATTATTCGTGATTTTAAAAAATTAAAAATATATTTTGCTAGATTTGGTTTGTTAGTATTTTTTTAAGAATTTTTATACTTATTCCATGAACTTGATTTATAATTTCCCTTTACACAATATTCTTGTTTGGTTTATGTATCAGTATTATATTAGATTCAAAATGAATTGCTGTTTTCAAAGTTTGTCTATTCTCTGGAACAATTTGTATAAGATAGGAATATATATATTTATTGAAAATTTGGTAAAATTTGATAAAACCACCACTAAGTGGCATTTTTAAAAGAGATTTATACTACTAATTTGACTTCTTTCATGGATATGGATCTATTTGAATTTTTTATTCCTTCTTGACAAATTTTGGTAATAGACACTATTCTAGAAAACTGTCCCTTTTCTCTTGTTTGTTTGTTTGTTTGTAAAATTGACTTTATCTATAGTTCTGTTACTTTTCCCTTTCTAATATTATTTGTGCTTTTTCTATTTCATATTAATTAAATTTAACAGTGCTTTATTACTATATTCAAAGAACCACCTTTTGATTTAACTACTCTTTTTTATTGTGACTTTGTTTTTTTATTTCATTAATTTGTGCCCTTAATGTCATTATTCTATTTCTTCTTCTTCTTCTTTTTATATTTTTTAAATTTATCTTTATTATTGAAAGTATTACAGATGTTCTTCCTTTTTTTACCCCATTGACTCTCTCCTCCTTACACTCCCCTACCTCCTACACTATTGTCTGTGTCCATTGGTTATGCATTATTCCATTCCTTCTTTTTCCTTTGGGTTTAGTGTGTCACCTTCTACTAACTTTGTAAGTTGAATGCTTAGCTCATGAATTTTCTTTATCTATTTTTTTTCTCATTTGTGAGTTTAAGGCTAAAAAAAACCCCTTTCAAGTGCTACTTTAGTTGTATTCTTCAAGTATTAAGATTCAATTTAGGCCACAGGGTCATAAATATTTTATAATTTTAATTGATTTCTTCTTTTACTGTCTTATTTAGTTACAAGTGTGTTTTTAATTTTACAAATATATTGGCTTTAAAATGTATTTTTTCTTATTGTTGTGAAATCTGTTGCTTTGTGGTCGGAAAAAGTAATTGTATGATAAAGATTATTTGATATCTTATGAAGCACTATTTTTTTCCATGTATTTCGGGGTCAATTTTGATTCATGGGACAAATATTCCATGTGTTTTTGAAAAGAACATACATTCATTGCTCACTGAGTACAAAGTCCATTACATTAAACTTTTTAACTCTTTTGTTCAAATCTTCTCTATCTTTTCTAATTTTTAGAATATATAATTTATCAGTTTCTAAAAGAAGTGAGTTAAAATCTGTCATTATAACTATTGATTTATCAATTTCTCCTTGTGATTCTGATTGTTTCTATCATATATTTTGACACTATATCCCTTCTGAAGTGTGAACAGTTCAGGACTATTAAATCTACTAAATTAAACTTCTTTGCTCATCTTCTTTATCCCCAATTATGCTTTTGGCTTTGAAGTAAATTTTTCCTAATAATAATACTATTATCTCTTCTTTTTTTGTATTAGTATTTGTCTGGTGTATCTTCTTATACCTTCACCTCTGATCCTTCTGCACTGTGTGTTAGATGTGACTCTTATAACAGCACATAATTAGGTTTTGTTTGTTTTTTAAAATTCAGTCAGAATCTCTAACTTTCAACTGGAAAGTTTAATCTTGTGTGATATTTGTGCTTACATATAGCACTATATCATGTTTACTTTTTAGACTGATTTTTTTTCACCTTTTCCCTGCTTTTACTTCTACTTATGATACTGATAAAGTTTTCTCTATTTGCTTATTTCCACGTCTACTAGATCCATTTCCATTCATTTTGTGGTTACCCAAAATTTATACATGCAGACTTGAACTAACAAAGTCTAAAATGATACTTCCTAAGGAATAGAGGAAACTAAGAAAGCATTCATTTCTCTTTTTTCAGCTTCTATATTTTCTTGTTCAGTGTTTTAGTTTTACCCTGTTGTTAAATATTTCCCCATATTAGTATTCATTTTTATTACCTTTTTTAAAAAATGTTTTTATTGATATTTTACAGAGAGAGATAGAAACATCTATGTGAAACAGATACATCCATCGGCTGCCTCCTACACGCCCTGCACTGGGGATCAAACCTGCAACCTAGGCATGTGCCCAGACCGGGAATCAAATTGGGACTTCTCAGTCCATTGGAAGATGCTGAATCCACTGAGCCACACTGGCCAGGCTACCTTTTTTTTTTTTTTTTAACAATACACGTAAATTTTAATTAAACAATATATTTACCTATTTCCTTCCTCATCATTATTTCTTGCTTGCCAGCCTTTCCTTCTGGATACAGTTTCCTTCTTGCTGAAGTATATCCTTTCATAGTTCTTTCAACAATGTGGTAAACCCAGTTTTTATCAAAAAATGTATTTAGTTAAGCAGAGAGTTCTGGGGTTCATAGTTATTTTCTCTCAACACTTTCAGGATACTCTCTCCTCCTTCTGGAATTTATTGCTGCTGATCTGAAGTTGTCAATTTAGTACTGCTCCCTTGTATCTTTTTCTACGCACACTCTTTGAGCTGCTCACTTTGTCTTTAATGCTAGGCAGTAATATCACAATGCATATTTGTTCTCATTTATTTCTTAGATCAATTCACATTACTTGATTTATTTTTATCTGCTTTTTTAATAAAGGAGATTGAAAGTTGATTTAACTACCATGGTGTATATAAAGGTCTGTAAACTGTGATTCTTTCATTCTAATATATTGAAAGTATTATTTCCCTTGAGGCTCCAAAACTGTTTACTTTGCTTAGCATTGACTATTTACTTCTTTTAATACAAATCTATAACCAAGTCTGACGAAGAAAATATTGGGTAGGTAATGAATCTAGCTCTCTATATTTTCTTCAGGTTATGACCCTGAAAAATAAGCACTTAAAGCATTCTTTTCCCCGATTTTCCTTTGGAAGTCTAATGTTCTTTTAATTATAACAGAATTTTGTTATTTCTTATAATTATTAGATATTCAAAGAATGACTGTAAAGACACTTGAGTGGAGCCTGATTTTAGCTGAATACAACACAGAGAGAACAAATTCAAGTTGCAACACAAGGAGCTTACTCTAACTACAAGTAAAATTGTCCACAAACTGAAGACCTATAAAGGGCAATTATGAATTCTCCTAAATTAAAAAGAAATACTCTTTATTTCCTTTTATATATCAAGGAATGAATAAACAATAGTCATAACCACCATAAAAATATTACCAGATCATCTGAAAAGAGTCTAAAATAAAGCTCTGGGCCTACTAAATATTATTCTTAATCTTTCTTATTATTCTTTTAAAATAGCTTCATGCCAAGTGTGACTCTGTAAGAAAATTTTATAAGCCAATGTTTTATAATCACTTCCAAACAGATATGCAGAATCTTAGTACAGATGCAAGATGCTCGTTTTGTTGGAATTGGGCGGCAGGGGATGCCTACAGCACGGAGAGTTCCCGTGCAAACTCTGTAATGATTGAGAACACTAACCCAGAAAACACGTGAACCTGGAGTTCAAATCTCAAACGCACGTTCACTTATTATCACTATGTGACTTGAGCCAATTGTTGTTGTTATGCCCAAATAAGAAAAGTTCTAAAAACTTAACACAAGGCCAAAATAGCTACATATTCAGAGCAATACTTTTTCCAGACTATCAATTAAACTTCTGTTACTATTTCAGCAAAGGTGCAGAAGCTTGAACTCAGTGAGACAGGAGGATGTCGTTACCTGGAAAGGCAGGCTTTGGTGACAGCACCGTGGAGATTTTCATTAGGGTACTGTGACAGCCGACGAGAAATCCGCAGCAGCTGTCTGGTAGAAAGCGATGTTGCCAATGACTGTGCCTATTAAAAGGCAAAGACAGCCTGTTAAGAGTCTTGTTTCAACTTGCTGCCAAGTCCCTTTAGATAGGTATCACAGCAGAATTCATTATTCCTGAAGGACAAGGCCAGACTTAAAATAAATATGGACTGTTAATGAATTACAAATAAAAATAAACAGAAACCAATTAACATTGAAAACATTCTCGAAGATAGTTTTTTAAATTATAAACCACTTAATTTTAATCCAATTAAAGTGTTTTTATTGTACTAAATGCTGTATATACATGTCTTTTGGGGGAAGTGGAAGTTAAACAGAGGAAGGCTATAACAATACAGGCCGTACTGGACTTAAATATAGCCCTTATGTATAATTAACTACTAAAAATTTTTTTTCTGTTTACACAAAACTGAACTGTTAAGATATCCTGAAAATGCTTAGAGCTTTAAGTAAATCTATGGCTTTTGAAATACAGAAGAAAAAAAAAGATTAATGGGCAATTTAGGCTGCTGACCACACAGATGTCAACGAGTTTGTCACTTGGGTGGTAGCTTGCTGTTCAGAATCCTTCCCCTATACTGTCAGAATAACTTTACTTGTTTTCTTATATTTCTCCAAATCCCAATAGTAGAGTTGCTAGTACAGAACTTAGGACATGTAAACACCAATAAATATTTGCTGACTTGAATTTTAACTTATCTTGGCAGAAGGCATAATATAATAGTAAAGTTTATAAGATTCGAAATCAGCCAAATCAGGCTCCCATTTATTAGCTATGTGACCTTGAGAAATTTCTTCTCTTCAAGCCTCAGTTTCCTCATCTTAATTATTATTATTATTATTATTATTATTATTTTGGTAAGTCCTCACCTGAGGATATTTTTTCCATTGATTTTTTTAGAGAGAGTGGGAGGGAGGGAGGGCTGAGGAGAGAGAGAGAGAAAGAAACATGGATGAGAGAGAGAGAGAGATATACATCGATTGGTTGCCTCCTGCACAAGCCCTGACCAGGGCCCGGATCAAACTTGCAACCCAGATATGTTACCTTGACTGGAGCTCTAACCACTAACCTACTCAGGCCAGGGCTGTTTCTTTGTCTCTAAAATGGCAATAATAATGCCTTCATCTTTAAGCTTATGAGGATTAAATTATAAAATTATTCTAAAGCACATAGTGTAGGTCAGATACATATGCGTGCATAATAAATAGCAGTAATTATTATTAAAAGTCAGCTTCTTTCAAATGAAAAAAATGTCTAACACAAGAAAAGGCTGTGACTTGTACATTAGAATGAATTTAATAAATCAGATTATTACTGGCCTAATTCCTAACTTAGATCACTAACATTAGGAGACAAAGGTTTTTCCCTAAAACTCAGTGGAAAGAACTTTTGAAGCAACTGGCTCTTTGGGAGGGCAGAACAGGCCAGGGTGAAATGTCACAGAGAGTGATGAGGGCAGCACAGTGGCCCTGAGCACCTGAGGGAACAGAGAAGGGGACTCTAGGACATTAATAAAGGGTACAAAATGGAGGATGGGAGGATGCAAAAGACATACTACATATTCACTTGCTTCAACATTTCATTTAAGGTAAACTCTACATGTCCCAAGGAAGAAAGAATAAATTGATTTCTCCTTCCTCATGAATTTCATTTCTCTATGAAATCCTGGTTTGCTATTATTAGCATTATATATCATCTATAATATGGATTAAATGACCCTTCGGGGACTAGATTGGGAGTATGACCACCATTTACGACATATCCTTTTTTTCTATTAAAAAACACATGCTAGCCCTGGCCAGTGAGGCTCAGTTGGTTGGGCACCATCTGTGCCCTGAGAGGTCACCAGTTCGATTCCCAGTCAGGGCACATGACCAGGTTGCAGGTTCTTTCCCTGGTAGGGGCCATGCAGGAGGCAGCTGTTCAATGTTTCTCTCTCTCCTTCTTTCTCTAAAAAAAAAAAAAAAAGAAAGAAAGAATAGAAACATATTTTTTCAAATTCTAAGTTTCAAAGAACTGATTTATAAGCAAACATCAGTTCATCATAGTTACGAACAAATTTGCATTCTAGACATGGAGACAATATTTAAATATAAGAAAATGTTGCAATTCAAAATAGCATATAATTTAATGCCAAAATAAGTGGAGCACTTGACAACTGCATAGGGACTTAAAGTGTTCAAGTGGGAGGAAGAAATGCTATGGACAAAAGCATGAATGCAAAAGGAACAAAAATACACGCAGAACATGAGGAAACCAGCCCAGTTTCATCAGAGAGTCCTGTGGGAAGCCTTGCTTCCAAATAACAAAGACCTGTGACTGACACGTGGAGGATTTTAGCCTGGCTCCTAAAGACAGCAGAACTTTTTTTTCTTTCTTTCTTTATTGATTTTAGAGAGAGCGAAAGGGAGAGGGGGAGAGAGAGATAGAAACATCAATGAGAGGGAGAACATTGATTGGCTGCCTCCTGTATACCTCCCACTGGGATCTGGCCCATAATCTAGGCATGTGCCAGGCTTGGGAATCGAACTGGTGACCTCTTGGCGCATGGGTCGATGCTCAACCAGTGAGCCACACTAGCCAGGCAGAACTTTCTTATATGCAAAACAGTAACATGATTTTAGAAAGATTAATCTGGCAGCAGTACGTAGTTGAAAGACAGACAGAACTGAGGCAGGAATCTTCCTACGAAAAGATAAAGTCCTACAGTAAGGTTACTGGCAAACAGAATGAAGGGAAGGGATCAACAAATGTTTCAAAGGACTTGGCAACTAATGGATATGAGAAAGAACTGAGGATAAGATTATTTAAGCCCTTTAGACTGAAAGTATCAGAAGTTAAACATAACTCAGCAATTCCCATCCTTAATACTTGGGACCATGAAAATCCCTACCATAATTACAGAAAATGTTTGATAAATGACTCCAACCTGACTATTCCCATGACAAGAGTCCTATTAAATCATATGGTAACTTTCTAGGGTATAACATTCTAATCTCATCCCAAGCATATCACAGTTCAGGCCTTATATTTCATCCCAGTGATCAGTAAGGATTTCTCATGAATTTGAAGAATACCAACTCTCTCATTTAACATCAGAATGTTTTGCAGTGCCCTGGCCGGTTTGGCTCAGCGGTTAGCGTCGGCCTGCGGTCCAGAGAGACCCAGGTTCGGTTCCGCTAAGGGCACATACTTCGGTTGCAGTTTGTCCCCGGCCCTGGTTGGTCGTGTGGGTGGCAACCACTCGATGTGTCCCTTTCACATTGATGTTTCTCTCTCTCTCTCTCTCTCTCTCTCTTCCTCCTTCCTTCCCTCCCTCCCTCCCACTCTGTCTGAACAAAAAATGGAAAAATGTCCTCAGGTGAGGACTGGAAAAAAAAAAAGTTTTTCAGTAACATCCAATGTTTTAAAAAAGTCAGAATGAAGCTTTTTTAGTGTGGAATAAAGGGTTTTGTTATCTGTACTCTCAACATTAGCCATTAAAAATTGAGAGGTACTCTCTCTTTTTTGCTCAACCCCTACACACACACACACACACACACACCACAACACCCCTCTCCCAGCGTAGCTGTCACCACTTTCTAACTAAGAGTCTGTCTCTATCTGCTTAGTAGTTCAGTTTGTTCATTAAATTCCACATATGAGTGAAATCATATAGTACTTGTCTTTCTCTGACTGGCTTATTTCACTTAGCATAATGTTCTCCAGGTCCATCCATGCTGTCGCAAAGGGTAAAATTTTCTTCCTTCATGGACATGGACAATAATGAGGTGACTGCAAGGGGGGTGGGGGTGGAAGAGGGCATAGAGGGGATAAATGGTGATGGAAAAAATAAAATAAATTTTTTAAATTTGAGAGTGTACTTTAATTGAAAAATCCCTAATATATTTAACATTTATTATGTCAAATTTCCAAAAGAGTAAGTGAGGATGTTAGCACATTCCCTTAGTTACCATGGTTATGCAGTTTAAGAGCACACCTTAAGGATTTTTCATATTAGCATGATTAAAAATAGTACTTCAGCTTGAAGATATAAACATTCTGATCAAAATTATTAAAAATAATTTTTCTCTTACTCCTTTTAAAGAACTATTTCTTTTACAAAAAAATATAACATGTTCTTAGGGAGATGAAACTCTACAGACAATCTATTAGTTAATCATTTATTCATTTCTTCATCAAACACTTAAGTGACTATTATGTGCCAGACCAGACTGAGAAATGGGAATAAAAGAATGAACAAGACCTGGCCTCAAGGAGTTCAAATTCTAATTGGGGATATAAAAATACACTGCGATACAGCTGCAGTAGGTCAATATGAGGAGCATATGCCAAGTGTCATGAAAGCAGACTGGATACAGAGGTTACTTCTGTCCAAGGGGGCTGACACACCCGACAGAACAGGGAACCTGAGTGCAAGTAGACAGAGAGAGACAGCACATTCCAGGCATCATCTAAGGCAGAGACATTCCAGGCATCATCTAAGGCAGAGACATGTGGGTTAAGTGCTGGGCTTAGAAACAACAAGAAGCAGAGGTTGGTGGTGTGAGGGTGCTTCAAGAGAGGCTGTAGAGCCCTGGCCGGTTTGGCTCAGCGGTTAGAGCGTTGGCCTGCGGTCCAGAGAGACCCAGATTCAGTTTCCGCTAAGGGTACGTACCTTGGTTGCAGTTTGTCCCCGGCCCCAGTGGGGGTCGGGGGGAGGCAGCCATTCTATGTGTCCCTTTCACGTCAGTGTTTCTCTCTCTTTCTCTCTTCCTCTCCCTCCCACTCTACCTGAACAAAAATGGAAAAATGTCCTCGGGTGAGGATAAAAAAAAAAGAGAGAGAAGCTGTAGAAAATGAGGCTGGAAAAGCAGCCAGGGTGCACTGACCAGTTTTGCTCAAGGGTTAGAGCATCAGCCCACGGACCAGAGAATCCCAGGGTTGGTTCCCGCTAAGGGCATGTACCTTGGTTGCCATTTGTCCCTGGTCCCGGTTAGGGTTGTACGGGTGGCAACCAGATAATGTGTCTCTCTCACATCGATGCTTCTCTCTCTTCCTCCTTCTCTCCCTCCTGCTCTATCTAAAGATGAATGCAAAAATGTCCTTGGGTCAGGATAAAAAAAAAAGAGAAGCAGTCAGGGTAAGATGGAGCTCGGCAGGCACACTGATCAGGCTATTCTCCAGTCTACAGACAAAGAGAGCCCATCTCTTAACACTTTTAAAGAAGGAGAGAATCTGGAAAATGGATTTGGGAAAGATTACTCCTGAGACAATAGGCAAAAGTCATTCATTCATTTATTTAACAGATATTTGTTGAACATCTATTATGTAGTAGTCAAAGTTCCAGATGCTGAGGATACAGAAGAGACCAAAACAAATAAAACTTCGCCATCCCAGAACTAAAATCAGACTGAGGGAAAGTGGACAATAAAACATGAATAAAACAGCCCATCCAGAGTGGCTCAGCTGGTTGAGTATCATCGTGTACTTCAAGAGGTTACCAGTTTGATTCCCGGTAAGGGCACACGCCTGGGTTGTGGGTTCAATCCCCAGTCGGTACACATGTGGAAGGCAACCAACTGATATTTCTCTTTCATCGATGTTTCTCTCTCTCCTTTCCTCTCTCTAAGCTTGTCCTTGGATAAGAATTTTTTTTTTAAAAAAAGAGTAAAACATATATTGTGTCAAAGGGCAATAAGCCATATGAAAACCTTAAAACAAAGAGGAAGAAATAAAACGAGCAAGATTAAGTGATTCTAAATAGAGTGCTTCAGGAAGGCCTCACTAAATAGGAAACAGATGAATAAACCCAAAAGGAGTGAGAAAGTAAACCCATAGCTACCTTGGAGGAGCAATGAAGGCAGAGAAAACACCAAGTGTCAAGGGCCCTGATGCAGCACTAGTGTATTCAGGGAACAACAAGAAGAATGGTGTAGCTGAAAAGAATGAGTAAGGGGCTAACATAGTGCTGGAAGTCTTAGCCACAGCAATTAAACAAGAATAAAAAATAAAGGGATCCAAATAGAAAAGGAGGAAGTGAAACTATCATTACTCGCAGATGGAATGATACTGTACATAGAAAGTCCTAAAGATTCCATCAAAAGTCTACTAGATTTAATATATGAATTTGGCAAAGTAGCAGGATACAAAATTAACATCCAGAAAACAATGGCATTCTTACACACCAATAATGAACGCTTAGAAAGGAAAACTAAAAAAAAAAATCCCATTTACCATTGCAACAAAAAAATAAAATAAAATACCTAGGAATAAACTTAACCAAGGAGGTAAAAGACCTGTTCTGAGAAAACTCCAGGACACTGAAAAAAAAAAATAGAGGAATATATAAAAAAGTGGAAACATATACCATGTTCATAGATTAGAAGACTCAACATTATTAAAATGTCTATACTACCCAAAGCAATCCACAGATTCAATGCAATCCATATTAAAGTACCAAGAGCATATTTCACAAATCTAGAACAAATACTCCAAAAGTTTATATAGAACCATAGAAGACCCCAAATAGCCACAGCAATCTTGAAAAAGAAGAACAAAGTGAGCAGGATCACAATATCAGCTATCAAGTTAATTACAAAGCCATCGTAATCAAAACAGCCTGGTACTGGCACAAGAACAAGCATACAGATCAATGGAACAGAACAGAGAACCCAGATATTGACCCAAGACAGTATGCACAATTAATAGTCGACAAAGGAGACAAGAGCGTACAATGGAAAAAAGACAGTTTCTTCAATAAGTGGTGTTGGGAAAACTGGACAGCTACATGCAGAAAAATGGAACTAGACCACCAACTTACACCATACACAAGAATAAACTCAAAACAGATAAAAGACTTAAATGTCACTTGTGAATCCATTAAAATCCTAGAAGAAAATGTAGGCATAAAAATCTGAGACATCATACGTAGTGGAATTTTCACCGATATATCACTTAGGGCAGGAGAAACAAAGGAAAAAAATAATAAAGGAGAGTAACCAAACTAAAAAGCTTCTGCACAGCAAAAGAAACAACCATCAAAATGGAAAGGGAACCCACTATATGGGAGCGCATAATTGCCGACAATATGTCAAATAAGGGGTTAATTTCCAAAATATATAGAGTACTCATACAACTCAACAAAAGGAAGACAAACAATCCAATTAAAAATGGGCAGAGGACCTGAATAGACACTTCTCCAAATAAGACATACAAATGGCCAGGAGACATATGAAAAAAATGTTCAACATCTCTAATCATCAGAGAGATGCAAATTAAAACGACTATGAGATATCACCTCACACCTGCCAGAATGGTGGCCATAAACAAATCCTCAAACAACAAGTGCTGGCGAGGGTGTGGAGAACAGGGGTCTCTAGTACACTGCTGGTGGGAATGCAGACTGGTGCAGTCACTCTGGAAAACAATATGGTGTTACCTCAAAAAATTAAAAATGGAACTTCCATTTGACCCAGTGATCACACTTCTAGAAATATATCCTAAAAAGCCTGAAACACCAATCAGGAAGAATATGCACCCCCTATGTTCATAGCAGCACTATTTACAATAGCTAAGATCTGGAAGCAACCCAAGTGCCCATTAGCAGATGAGTGGATAAAAAAGCTGTGATACATTTACACAATGGAATACTATACAGCTGTTAAGAGAGATATCTTACCCTTTGAGACATGGAAGGACCTGGAGAGCATTATTCTAAGCGAAATAAGCCAGTCAGAAAAAGACAAGTTCCACATGATCCCACTTATTTGTGGAATATAATGAATAAAATAAGCTGTCGACCAAAAGAGATCCAGAGTCATGCAAGTAGGATACAAATTAACATACCTCATAGAGATGGGGGTCGAAGGGGTAGGAAGAGATAAACCAAAGAACTTACATGCACATATGCACAACCAATTGACACAGACATTAAGTTGGGGAAAGTAGGAGGGGGTAGGAATGGGAAGGAGGGGGTCAATGGGGAATAATGGGGGACTATATTACTTTCAACAATAAAAATAAAATAAAACTGATATGGGAGCCTACAAAAAAAGATGAGTAAGGGGGAAGTAGTTGGAGATGAGATCTCCTGAGACAGCTAGAAAGTGGTCCCCCCCAAAGATATTCACATCCTGATCCCTGGAACCTGTGAATTTTACCTTATTTGGCAAAGCTGACTCTGCAGATAACATGAAAAGTTTCTGAGACGCGGAGATTATCCTGGATTATCTGGATGGCCACTGAATGCAATTATATGAATCCTTACGGAAGGGAGGCAGAAAAAGATCTGACAGGGATACACAGGAGAGAAAGTGACCTGAAGACCGAGGTGGAGATTGAAGTGACAAGGCCGAGTCAAGGGGGGCCGGCAGCCACCAGAACCTGAGAGAGGCAAGGGATGGGGTCTCCCTTTGCACTTCCAAGAGAATGCGAGCCTGCTGACACCTTGACTTCAGCTCAGTGATTTCCATTTCAAACTTCTGGTGTCCAGAACTGTGAGAAAATAAACTTCTTTTGTCATAAACCACCAATTTATAGTAATTTGTTGTAACTGCCACAGGAAAGACATAGAGGGCCAGGAGAGGAATGGATGATTGGTGAAGAGGGCAGACAAGAGGCAATAACAATATTCTAGTATAAAGATTATGAATCCCAATACCAGTATAATTACTGACCATAGATAAGAGCACAGATTAGACATCAAGATACTAAACTGATGAGATTTGCTTTCAGGTAAAGTAGAAATATTGGGAAAGCAAGGAATCAACAATGATGTCAAGGTTTTTAATTTAGGTAATTTGGTAGACAGGTTATTAATAAAGTCAGGAAATTAAATAAGAAACAGGTTGATATAAAGGGGAAAGATCATTTAGTTCTATATGCCATCTTCATAACGTCCTCATGAGTTACATGGCACTGTTCCCATTTTACAGATGAGAACATTGAGACTCAGAGTTTGACAGTGACAGCCCCAAATCTTTCCAACATACTATCCTAGCATGGAAATACAATTAGAACAAAGAGTCAATCAGAAAAGAGAAGTTAGAAGCTGAATATAAGGATGTGGGCATTATCGTAGAGATGGTACTTCAAGCCATAAGAATAGATGAGATGCTCAGCACAGGAGACAGAAAAAGCAGAGCCGAACTCTGGAAGTATCAAGCACATCTCTAGAGCTAAAGCTGTTTTTTATGATATCAGCCATGAGGAGCTAAAAGAAATGTTAAAATCAATGAAAGAGTAAAACGTATATGCATAGGACAAAGCATAACACAGGAATAAAAATATCAGCTTAAAAAACAAATTTTAAGGCACTGAATTCTAAGAACAAAAAGCAGCAGCCTGTCAGCAATAGAAAATCCAGACTTACCGTTGGATCTTGTGTCTCTCTGAGTTTGTGTGTAAGTGATAACAATTTGTCCAAAGCTTCCAGAGGTGTATTTGGAACCTATTTTTTGAGAGAATTGAGGAAAAACAGAAAGAATGAATTGGGATATCTGATCAATAAGTCAGAAATTAGGGCTACTTAGTAAATAATATTAGAATTACATTTTTATTGCTTTTTAGGGAGAAACATCAATCAGCTACCTCCTGCATGGCCCCTACTAGGAATCGAGCCTGCAACCCGGCATGTGCCCTGAACTAGGAATTGAAGCAACTCTGGTGCTGGGGAAGACACCCAACCAACTTTGCCACACGGGCCAGGGCTAGAATTATATTTTCAGAAAAACGTTTATTACAGTTTACATGTTTAATTCATGGATAAGTTTACTTATTCATCTTCTCGGGAAACACATCCATCCATGCTCCCACCCGTTTCTCTTTAAGAATCAGGTAATTAAACCCAAGCCACCCTTCTCCATTTACAATCCTACCACCGGCATACAACCGAAAGGAGCCGGACTCGAAGCTGGCATACCGTATGCCAGTAAAAACCTTCCATAAATTATCATTTCCTTTTTTGTTAGCTTCAGCGTGATTTTTTAAACTCTAATTTAGGCATTTTCTTACTGAAACCAAACTCCTCCATTTAGCAGAAATCTTACATCTATGTCTTCTAAGTCACATAAGGAATCCTTGCATAAAGAATGCATCTCAAGCTGTCCATTTCTTCAGTGCGTTTAAACTGCATATTCAAGGCACACGACCAGTTTATCAATGAACTCTGAAGAACAGGTGCCCAAATAACACACATCGATTGCCTCAACTGTATCAACTTTAATCTAACTAAATATATAATTAATTATAAGAAAATTTTACTTAAGCAATAACACATTTAAAGTTTTAATTTAAAAAATCAGAAAGAGCTGTTAGAACAACTGGTAGAATGTGGTCATTTCAGAAGTAAACTGTTCAGGGTTTCTTTGGTCATTTAAGTGATTGAAACTTTTTAAAATTCTAAGTTCTATTCAGTACATACTTTATCTTATTTATTCTTTAAATCAATCCAATGATATAAGAAGTAGTATTATCCCCATCTTCAGATAAAAAAATTATCTGAGTAATTTATCCAAGATACAGAAGCTAGTAAGTAGTGAGTTTGGCACTTAAAGGCAAGTTGTTTGTTTTTAAGACGTATGCCCTTATCCACAACCATGCTCACAAGGCCTAAAAAGCTCATTCCGATATTTTAAAGGGGATGAGTATTAAATGTTTATGAAAAATGTTAATTATCTGTGACCTAGAACACCACTATCGAATAGAACTTTCTCTGATGGCGGAACTGTTCTTGACCTTTGCTTTCTAACATGTTAGCCAAAAGCCCCCATGTAGCCACTGACCACTTGAAATATGAATGAGAAACTAAATTTTAAAATTTTACGTCCTGAATATGACATCAAACAGTACAGCTCTAAAAATGCTAAGCACAATGCCTGCTTAAGGCAGACACTGAGGTAAGGGTTACACACACTTCCAGCACCAGACAACTAATCAGGAAAGTACAGGATAGGCTCTATTCCAGTCCTGAGGGGACCAGGGCTCCTTAGCATGTTCTACAGAATCCAAGGAACTAAGATATACTTAACTTCCCTCTACAGTAGAAACTTAAAATAGTCACCTCTGGCTGAATATAAAAGGAAAAGGAATCCCCGAACTGCCTCCACACAAGGAAAAAGAAGAGACAGACTAACCCATGGTTCTCAAAGTGTGGACCCGAGGGACCAGCAGCAACATCAGCATCACCTAAGAACTTTAGAAATGCAAATTCTCATGTACCATATCCCAGACCTAGTGACTCAGCAATCTGCATTCTACCAAGTCCTTCAGATGATTCTGTAAAATATTACCGTTTGAGAAACATTATATGAGGACATTTGGGAGTGAGTGGAGAGAAAAAGCCAAAAATGTCCAATTCTGCTCCAGTAGGAGTAAGAGTGTGTTAAAAAAGAGAGAAAAACTGAAGGCAACAGGCTAGAGCTGGCCTCACTCTTACCATTTCCTTAATCACTTGGATTTCTTCACTTTTGACAAGTGGTTTCATGTGATGGAAAAAGAACATGGTTAAGAATTCTGGCCCCAGCCACTGCTGTGTTGTGCTTCCAATAACAGGGGGCTCTGCCAAGGCGATGATTCTGAAGGAGGGGTGGACAGGAAAAATGGATCTAAAAGAGAAAAAAAAATTACAACATAACTTTTCACATTAGAAATTAGGTCTAGCAAAAGCCTAGATAATAATAAGTCTATAAAGCTGTTAATATAGTCAAAGTTATTATCCAAAGAACAGACTGAAAAAAGTCAGGACATTCTAAGAACCTAAAATTAAAACAAACAAACAAGAAAGAATCACCTTCTGCTGCTATAAGACGTATCATATCCACTGGTGTACTCCATCCCTGGCACAAACCACTGCTTTGGATATGCTATTATGCCTACAATGAATTTTCTCCATTGTCTCGTGAAACAAAATCCAATCTAGTTCATATTCAGTGCATAGGTCCCTTTTCTTAATTCCAAATCACCTCAAAATCTCCTGTCTTGCAAGAAACCCACTCTATGTCAATTTTAGAAGGACCAAGAAGCTTGATTCAAGATGAGGAGACTTTTCACAATAGAACATTTAAGCAGCATAGGAGTTGGATTAAATTTTGATTTGGACCAGCAGTAAGAATACTTAGGTCTTAAAAAGGCAGAAAAAAAATTTAACTGTTATAGAATTTACTCGTTTGTCATTTTATAGGAAACCTTATGATTTTTAAAGTGATCTCTTTTATAAATCTCTGTTAGGGATTCTGAAAATGTAAATATTCTAGGATACACAGAGGAATAAGTAAAACTTCTCATGGTCTGTGAAATGACTTGAGTAGTTTTTGAAGAAGGGACTAGAAATCCCTTACTGTGATCTAATCACCAAGACCATATATACACCTTGGCTTTTACATTCTTTGCAGATATCACATGGCTAATATACCCTATATAATGGCTTAAGAAATGTTAGAGACTTTCTTTCTCTTATTGCAAAACACCAGGAATATCATGGACATGGAGGTTAGAAACTGCATGGTGACCACACACCAGACAACATGCCTGTACTTCCCACAGGAAGTAAGGACCAACACAGGACTGCTTACTTCGATGAGAAAGACTTTGGGGAAAGGGTGAGTGCAGATACTACAGGTTGCTAAATGTCTCTTCCTGCTGTTGGTCAGAAAATAGATGAAGGGGGTGAAATTTTGTTGTGGAAATCGTGAATTACCAATAGTTTATTTTGCCAAGAAAAGGCTTCTGGTGATCTCAGGGAAGCAGTAAAGATAAGTGGCCGAGTCTCTGTTGTAATTATATATGCTTCTAATGTCTTTTCATTTTTGTTGAATATTTTATTGTGATTGAACACTGAAAATAGTTTATAATCTGTCCATTTTTTTATAGATCAGTGGTGAACCATAACTGGACACTGGACAGATACATGATCAGCAGATTTTTCTGAACACTTTACTCTTACTCTTATGTTTGAAGATAGTTAGGATCTGAGCTTTCTCTCCTACCTCCCCAGAAACTCCAGCATCTCTTTGCTAGCAAATTAGGCCATGCAAATTTTTTTTTTTATTCAGATAGAGTGGGAAGGAGAGAGAGAGAGAAACATCGATGTGAAAGGGACACATCAAGTGGTTGCCACCCACACGACCCAACCAGGGCCGGGGACAAACTGCAACCAAAGTATGTGCCCTTAGCGGGAACCGAACCCGGGTCTCTCTGGACCACAGGCAGACACTCTAAATGCTGAGCCAAACCGGCCAGGGCGGGCCATGCAAATTTTTAAAAAAATTTAAGGTAGATCCAGATTTTATGCCTAAGTCTTTGTGTTTGAGTCTCAAAACAAAAAGCCTTAAGCAGATTCTGATTCTGAAAAATAATCCTAAACATTTTTATGGTCCAAGGACAGTTTTAAACTCTGTGACTGTGAAGGGTCTAATTACTTATTATTGTATGTATTGGTTTTGTCTTTTTTTTTTTTTTTTTTTTCAGAAAATCCATCATCTTTCACAAATTCATTCAAGACCAGATTTAGACTAGCTGCTCTACTTTTAGGTAGGAAATCATTATCTGCATTTCCTCTCATTTACCTTTGCTTTGTCCTTGCCATCAAATGTCTTTAAAAAGTTTCTTGCAGTGATGGTTATGAACTACAGCAACGCATTTATTTATTTAGTTAGCATCTGCTCTCTTCTCAGTAGTATACTAGAACCTGGGTGGCATAAAGATGGGTATGGAATGTGTCCATGCAGTTTGCTACACTGCATAGAAAACACGGGGAAATGTGGGCTGTGTACAGAACTGTATAACCTCTAGGTCCTGAAGTGGAACATCAGTATTCCAGTAGGGAATTCCAGTTACAAAATCCTCATCTGGTTCATGATTAATGCCTTTGCAAAAACCTTCTATATCACTTTTTCAACTTCCTTAATATACAAATTTGACAAAAATGTACCATATTTCCTTCAAACAATTGGAGTTCATTGTAACCCTTCCTTTTTGTTTTGTTATAGATTTGTTGAGATATAAATTAATATATAATAAACTGCATATTTCAAGTGTACAGTTTAATAACTTTTGATATTTATTTACACCTATTAAAACCATTATCACAATCAACAGAATGAAAACATCTATGGCCCCCAAAGTATCCCCAGACTCCTTTGCATTCCCTCCATCCTGTCCCCTCTCACACCCCTAAGAAACTATTTACAGTTACTTTATATAGCTTGTATTTTCTAAAGTTTTATATAAATGGAATCAGACAAATGTACTCTTTTTGGTCTGGCTTCTTCCACTCAGCATAATGACTTTAGATCTTCCATGCTGTTATGTGTATCAATAATCCACTCCTTTGTATTACTGAGAAGCACTGAAAAGTACTCTCTAAAATGGTACATTCATGCCCTCCAAACAAACATATTGACCCAATATTTTTATTTTGAAAATATTTTTGTAAGATCCTTTTGCTTTTTAAATTTTTAATATTTAGGGAATGGCATCTATTTATCTAAAGTTATACCATATCTTTTGTTTCATTTGTTATTTGTTGTTAAATTCTAGTAAAATTAAAGTTACCTTTGAGTTTAAATTTTAATAGTGCCATGTCTTAAGTCCCAATTATTTGCCACTTCAGCCTTTGTATTACCCACTAGTATGTCAAACCACCGGAAAGCAGTTGGCAGTTCCATAGGAGTACTCTGTTCTCTAACTTTCAGGCTTGAGAACCTAATAGCATCAGGAAATGACTTTCCATATGACCTATTTCTATGTAAGGAAGCTTTGGGGAGAAATAGTAAACTAGAAAGGTCATTCTCATCCTGTTCTTCAATAGTTTGATAACTCTACTTCTCTGCCTACCCTACTTGCTGTCTCAGAAACTGCCTTCTTTAAACTGGGCCAAGTCACTCAGGTACCCTGCTAGAGTCAGTACCAAAAAGCAAGCCACAGGAAATATATGTCCAGAGCAATGACCATCGTCTTATTTAAATTCTAGCCACCCAGCTTTCTCGTGTTAATTGTTCTTCTTACTGGGACAGAAGAGGGTCAAGGATGAAGCCAACATTTGTTTATGGCCCATGAAGCAGAGATGTCTGGACTATAACAAACCACTTAGCAGGGGTGGCAAGTGGAATAACTTTCCCTTTTAGCTTTCAATCACAGAATTTTCCAGATTCTGTTACATGACTATCTAATTAATTACTCGATACCCTAAGTGATCCCTTTATCCTGAAGACTTTCAGGTACTGTCCATGTTGTGATCGTTCCCTCTTTTCCCAAAAAACTCCTTTGGACAAATCATCCTATGCTCTGCTTGACTGAATATCCGTAAATAAGTCTTTTTTTTTTTTTTTCTACCTAGAGTAATTAAATGATGTCTGAATTTTTATGAATTAATCCAGACCGTTCACATGAGAATTTCTAAAAATTGCTTTTCCTTGGCTTACAAATTATGGTGTGGCCTCTCCAAGTACAGATCGTGCGGTCAGGGGCTTGGTGGACCTACCTGTTGTATGGGGAGAACTTTTTCTTACCTGAAATCTTTAGAGTACTTATCTGATCTTCACGCATATCCTCACTGCTGATACTCTAGCTCCCTAATCACTTAACTACTGGGTTCTGTTATAACAGTCCATGGCGATAGATAGTCCATTTCTGGAGAAATGCCAGTTATGTTCCTGTATTTTGGCTTTTCTGAATGTCTTGGCAGGTGTTTGAGTTTCATCTCTCCTTTCTCTCAGCAGGGATAATATTATCTTAAAGGTAATATTTTGCCCTGGTTGGTGTGGTTCAGTAGTAGGAGCATTGGCCCAAGCACCAAAGGGTCACACAGGTTCAATTCCTGGTCAAGGGCACATACCTGGATTGCAGGTTAGATTCCCGGCCCTGGTCGGGGCATGGGCAGGAGGCAACCAATCAATGTGTCTCCCTCACATCAATCTCTTTCTCTCTCTTTCCCTTCCACTCTATCTAAAAATCAATGGAAAAATATCCTCGGGTGAGGATTAACAACAACAAAAAAAGTAGTATTTCCACTGGGGTTTTTAGTAGAATTGATTAAAACTGACAATATCACCCACATCATATACAATGACGTTTGGCAAAAGAGTCAAACGTAGGGTTTCAAACTATGAAGTTGAAAGGTTTGGTAGCCCATTGCTACCTATTAATTGTGAGATCCTACATTATCAGACTTGTCATTAAAAGGCAAAGTTCCTAATTAGATGGTTCCTAAAAGGAAACATTACTAGTTTAGAGGATCATCTGAAACTAGATTAATAGAATGACCTTTCCTTGAGTTTCCTAGAATTTATCCTGGGTTAAGATTTATTTACTCATTCAAAACATTTATTAAGTGATGTACTATGTTCAAGGTGTTGTGACAGTAAAAACAAAAAGATAAAGTATAGAGCAAGGCAGAGAGTCCTGACAAGATTAAAGTTTTAGGTTCCAGTTATTTCCTGAGGCATGACTGCAACCTGGCCCTTACTTTGAAAATGTGAGATATCATTAAGTTCCTTTTTAAGACAATTAAGGTGTTTTTGTTATTTGTAACTGAGGAGTCTTGTCAAACACAAACATAAAATTTGTTCCTATCTGAAAGTCCAACAGGCATTTAAATTTACCAAACTGGGTCTAGAGGCAAAGAAGCCCTTAAACTTGCCTTCCCTTCATTATACTTTGACCTTTTGCTCTATATCAAAATCCCCAAACATTAATAGCTGAGTTTGTTTAAGGACTATCAGAAATAATCACTTTGCTCAGACTTGAGTTTGTTATTAGCTATAGAAATGAAAAGAATAGATGACTTTGGTTATGAGTTTCTAATTTGCAGTTCTAATTCTAATGCCAAGAGTAACATATTAGATATAGAAAGCATATAAGATCAACCCAAGCTAGATGGTTATATTACTTACAAGAACAACACATGAAACAAATTAATTTCCTCACTGAGCACAAATTTCCTGCTTTTTACACTGTGCTATGTCCTTTTAGTTAAGAAGCCAACTCTCTGTCCAATAAACACTGCCTTGAAAGAAATACTGCCAATTGGCTTAAAGGAAAAATCTAACCTAATATAACCCTATAAGAGGACATATTTATTCTCAGAAAGACAAAAATGAGCTACAAAATTTAATCAAGGTTAACCAAGAAAATGTGAAGAAATTTACCAACAATCCATATCACCAGGTGAAGACGCTGATAAGGAAAGGAATTAGGCTTTCAAATGGTAGATACATTTCTGACAGACAGGCAAATCAACTGTTAGACATCTTGCCTCTGAAAAGTCAAAGAAGTCCTACAAAAAGTGTCAGAATGTAAGAGAAAAGAAAATTAGAAATCCAGCAAAGGAGCCCAGCTGGTGTGGCTCAGTGGTTGAGCATCGATCTGTGCACGAAGAGGTTGCCGGTTCGATTCCCGGTCAGGGCACATGCCCAGGTTGTGGGCCAAAGCCCCAGTGGGGAGCACGCAGGAGACGGCCAATTGATGTTCTTGCTCATCGATGTTTCTATCTCTCTGTCCCTCTCCTTTCCTCTCTCTCTAAGATCAATAAAGAAAAAAAAAATTTTTTTAAAGAAATCCAGCCCAGGAAGTTCAACATCTAACTAGTGAACGCTGCAGAGAAAGAGGCAGAGGGAAGGGGAAGCGGGAATGGGGAGAGAGCTAGAATGACATATGAGCTACAAGCATAAAGAACGAGTCCTGATTACTGCCAGTGAGAATACTCTCCGGGAGAAAAGTGAAATGGACAGAAGTTGCAACGGTAGATGCTCCAATGTGCTGTGAGGAGACTGAGACAACAGGGAAGGTTCGGATGAAAAAGGGATAAAGACATAGAAAATAGGGTCACTTCCTCCTCTGTATCCCATAGCATCGCTACACAGATTCTATTCTAACATTTGAAAGCTGCATTGTAGTAGTTATGTATCTGCCACTTTTCATATGTAGGCAAGTATTTACTTTAGGAAAACAAAATGTATGCCAGAAAGGATGAAACTGTAGTTCACTGACTGGCATGGCTTTGTGTGGTTCTTGTGCTGCGATAATAATGCAAACACTCAGTAAAGCTCCAAACAAACTTACCACATAATACTGAGGAGGAACGGGGACTAGAAAGTATGTATGTGCCAGGGAAGAGGGGTGGTGCCAGAGGGTTAACCCTTAACTTTCCATAGTAGGAAATCACTAGATGGTGCCGACACTGAAAAACAAATCAAGAACTAACACTGCAAGTATATTGTGTAGTAAAATAGAGGTAAATACCAGAAGAAACAGCTAAGAGTTGGAAGTGGTAGCTTCTGGAGAGTGGCAAATGGGAGTGTCCTAGAACAGATGACACGACTGATATTTTAAATTAAAAGCCTTGAGAAACAATCTGGCTCAAGTTTCATGAATGTTTAACAATAATACAAAAATTCAAATAAAAACAAAAAGTAAGTGAAGGAAACCAAGCCATGCTATGACCTGTCCCCACCTATTCAGTGATCTCTGGAGGTAGAATGGGGTCTGGTTTATGTTCAGGGGAGAGCTGAAAACTAGCAGTGACGAAGATGGGACACGGTAAGAGGGAGCACAACTAACCACTCTGAGCCAAACCCTGAACGCGATGCTCAGTGCTACTCTGTTTCTGAAAGTGTTTTCATTTGTAAAACTGCCTGCGACTATTAGGGAGAACTTGGGTACTTTTCACAGAAAAGGGTAATCATTTCCTGGACTTCTGGCTGCAAACACAATGCTCCCGTGGTCCGGAGGGAAACTGACTGGCAGGCTTGCTGAGAGCTGCTGCCCAACTGCTTTGATTCGTCTCCCTGACAAATGATTCACATGCAAAAGCTGAATGTTATAAACGAAAGGTATGAAATGAATGGGATCGTCATGACTTGCCTCCCTAATACTCAATCAAAACATTTCCTAGGCTGGAGAAAGGTGATGATGTGTACCCCAAAAGCATGAAGAGCTGTGCAATCAAGTGAATTTTTAAATAATTTATAAAAAGATAGTAAGAAATGTAACATTTGCTCTCTATGAAAAAATTCCAAGGCAATTTTTAAACAAAACTCTCATTAAAACATAAACACTTAATTATCATTTGTAGAATTTTAATGTTTTAAATATGGCAGCAAACACTTTGGCTCCAGGTTAAGCTTTAATTAAATAAGATCCGCTTAAGTGACTAAGAATTCTCCTAAGTAGCAATCTCTAACTATGTCAAAATAGCCATGGAAATGTAATGAGACAGAAAATAACTCACATTTGCCAAACCTCCTCTAAGGAAAAGTACAATACGCAGCAGAAAGAAATATTTTCCCTCAATCTTTTTATTTTGAAATTGTTCAAACCATTTGAAAGAATACAATATGAACACCTATATATCCTTCACCTAGATTTCACCAATTGTTAGATTTTATATTTGTGTTCTTGTTCTCTTGATCTCTCCCTTTCTCTTCACCTGTATGTCTGTTTTTCCCTGAAACATTTGGGAGTAAGTTGTAGACATCTTTCTACTTTGTCCCTTAAATATCTCAGCATGTGTCTCCTAAAAATAGGAGTATTATCCTTCATAACCACAATACCATTATGATGCTTAAGGAAATCAATATTCATTCAATGTCATGAAATATACATGGTCCATATTTAAACTTTTCCATTGTCCCCACAGTGTCTTTTATAGCTGTTTTCATTTTATGTCTGGATCCAGGATGCCATCAAGTCTCACACACTGCACATTGTTATGTCTCTGGAAAATGTACAAAGAAGTCACAAAGGGTCACCCTGCATCAGGTGGCATACCCCAGTAAGAACGATTTCCCACGAATAGGCTGAGTTAATGATGAAACTTTCCTTTGTTTGTTTATTTGTGGAAAAGATGCAAAGTATGAGGCAAAAACTGATTGGATATTGCAACAGAAGAAGAACTATCGTCTTAAAACTAATGTCCTCATAAAATGTTTAAACACTTATGTAAATAGGCTGTGCATGCGGAATTTATCGTGGGTGGTAACCTCAAGTTTCAAGAAGGGCCAAACTACAAGCATACCCAGAACACCAAATTACTAAGCTGTGCAAAGCTATCCTGGCTTGGCCCTAAGGTTAGAAGAATAAGAAAAAGAAGGCACACTTAACAGTAAGAATAGGGTATACAAAATTACCTCTGTTGTAGCTGCTCATCAGACATTTGCAGCTCCTCTTTCAAGCGCATATACCTGTCTTCTCTCAGCAGCCTAGAGCCATCATAGAGGCTCAGCTCCCGATCGTGGATCAACCTAACAGGATGGAGGAAAGTCAGAAAACAATGTAATCCATTTTGAATAGTGAAGTTATTATAAGTAAAATCAGTAAGTTAACATTATAAAATGTTCATTATTACTGGCAATTGAGTCTAACAATTTTAGATGCACTTTTCGAAATTTCAAGTTGGCTAGTGCTGTTATAGTTGGCACAAATATTGGTTTCTGTAGTGAAGGGTTGTAGTCATGGATACCAGATGTGGACAGGGAGGAGGAGGAGCTAGAAAGGGGAAGAAGTAGGGGATGGAAAGAAAAAGTTGAATGAGTGACTCAGGATAACTATGAGGTACATATTAATGTCCAAGGCAGTTGGGACATGCTCCCTTGAGTCCAATATAACTTTTTAACTAATAGTTATGTTATCAAAATATTTCTATCTTTTCCCAGCTAGTGTGGCACAGTGGATTAAGCATTGTCCTATGGACTGAGAAGTCCCTGTTTAATTCCCAGTCAGGGCACATGCCCGGGTTGCAGGCTCAGTCCCCAGTGGGGAACGTGCAGAAGGCGGCTGATCGATGTTTCTCTCTCCCTTCCTCTCTCTAAAACATCAATAAAAACATTTTTAAAAAGTATTTCTATCTTTGGAATCACAGGATTTAGAATATCAAAAATTTTTAATAATGAAATAACTAGTGCTATTTCATATATCTACTATGATGTTGACTTAACCATCCACAGCACGACCATACTGTTTTCCAAATGTTGCAGAGGTTGAAAGTGCTATTTAGACCTTACACCAAACGCCGAGTCTCCTGATGCCCACGTTACAGTTGCCCCACACAACCTCTATTTGCTAAGCACTAAGGGGAAGAGGGACTGCATAATGCAGAGGTTAGGAGCATGGCAGTAGAGTCAGTGGGACCTGGGTTCAAAATCAGCTCTGCACATTATTAGAAGAATGACTCGAGAAGGGGAGAACTATTCCATCTCTTTAAACTTTTATCTTTTATCAAATTAGGACTATAATATCGACCTCAGAGTACTGCTGTGAAAATTAAACAGTTAATGGAAGGCATGTGCTTAATACAGTTGTTCTCTAGCTTGGCTGCACATCAGAATCTCCAGGAAAGGGTTAGATGCACCTGTCAAAATTTCAAGTTGGCTAGAGCCCAGGCAACAGTAATGTTTAAGCTTTATGCCCACATGGTGATTAACCTGAGACATATTGGCATAGCACAATGCCCAGCACAAAGTAAGTACTCAATTAATGATAGCTGCTGCTACTATAACTACTTGGCCTAATGGGCAAGAGATGGCTAATGAAAGGGGGGAGTATTATTTTGTTTGTGTCTGCATTTGTCTGTTTAGAAGACAAAAAATTAAAAATTTATTGACTGTCTATGATAAATCACTGAAAGTATTTTTAAGTGCTCTCAAATCTAATAAGGATTAATACAATGCTTTTGGAGTCTTAAATTATACTTGGTATCTACATGTTTTCAAGGGGAAAAAACTTAGACTAGTTAGTTGGGAAATTATTCCACTTATTTGAACTTTTCTGATAAGTCAAAGTTAAAAACCAAATGTCTACAAGTGATAGAATCAAGCTGGAACAACACAAAAAATTAGAATCATTACTGACACAGGATGAGAATATTTTCCATGAAATTTTTTCTTAACATTAAATTAAAGAGCAGTCAATTAGGAATGTGTGGAAATTTTCCCCACCTAAAACTGCAATATGAGGACAACAGTTAAACAAATGTTTGAGTTCGTAAACACACAGTGAGCTTTTCAGCTTAAAAATATAACAAAACAGCTATTACACATTTTACAGAAGGACCTACATTTTCTCTCAAAACAAATGCCAAGAAGATCAGCCAGTAAGGCACAGCTATGATTCATAAGCAGAGTGGAAAGCAGGGAGCTGCGACTCTGACAGGCTGCAGAACTCGAGCTATGTGACCTGTTACATATATTAATCAGCAGCTTTCAAAATCACTACTTAACAGTTTTCTTAAAACACACAGAATTTTTTTTTAAATCTGCTCTTCTACCTGGATATAGAATTAAAAGTTTTTAAGGATCTGTGTAACCCAGTTTTAAAAAAGAAGTCTGAGAGTGTTCCATGTCCACTATTTATACTTGGCATGTTCTCTCATGTGGGACTCATGCAAACCTTTGCAACACAGCGAGTGTGCCTGCGTTGACCCGGTGTATGCCATCCAAGAGGACCAGCTTTCCTTCTAGGGCAGCGTTCACGAGGGGTGAGGACCGCCAGGCAGTGTCTCCGTTGGGAAGGGTGTATCTCTGCTGCAGCAGATCACGTGCTGTCATGTCCTAAAACCACACCCACCAAAACAAATAGGGAATTAATTTTTAAGACATTAAAAATGTCTGGATGGCAGCTTACTTAACTTTATAGATGCCTCTCTTAGAACATTACATTACAACTGGTAATTCATCTCTAACCCATCAAAGAAAAAGATATTCAGAAGCTTTTCTTAGCCGTTTGCATTTTTTTCCTATTACTCATCAACATAACATAGTAAGAATGAGGGTGCTTTTTTTCCTTCTAATTTAACATTTCTCCCCTTTTAAAATGTTCACTTGATATCTACACAGATAATGTCAGTAGTTTCCACCTGATTTTAATGGAAACTCAATTAGCTTTATTCCTGCAGGGATGAAAATGTATGGATTCCTTTTTAAGAATTAGAGGCCATACAAACTCAGTGGGTGGAGATGCTTATTAATAATATGCCTTTCCTTGCAGTTGATGAGTTCTCCTGAAAAGCTATGCTAGGAATCATTAACGTGACTCATTATATTTAAAGGGGTTTGAAAATGAAGGAAACTGCAGAGAACAGTCCTCAGATGAGGTACAGGAATCGAAAAACAATGGCACAGCACTTACAAGCAATTTTTAAACTCACACAATGTGCTAGCATGAAAACAGTGTAACAGATTTAAGCAAACTATTAATAGTAGTGGCATATAAAAGTCTATCTACTATAAAAATATTTGCTGCCATATAATATGAACAATTTTTTGTTAGATGTGTTAACTTTGAAAACAACAGTTTCTTTTCTGTTATCTGCTTCAGATAAATTTTGTGCCATTTATATCAAACAAAAGGCAATTTCAACCAAAAATTCAGTCTTTTTAAATTCTGTGATACCCATTTCAAGTTTTAAGCAGATAGAAAACTAATGAATTTGCTTATATTTACAATGGCAACAAATCTGTGTCAAAACCAATGCTCTCATTATCAAAAGGTACTGACTTAGGAAGTATGAACAGGTATATGTTAAGTCATAAAGACACTTGAGAAACAGTAACATTCAAACTCAGCAAGTCCCCAGAGCCCTAAAGGGCTGGCTTTGGCACATTATCAAAATTTGGCTTAACTCATTAATTTTATTGAATTCCCTCTATGCAAACTATATGAGCATGTCATTCTAAGCTGCCGATGACAGTTACAACAGCCAAGACTAAATTGATCTCCACCATCAGTGTTCATTAAGATGGTTCGTGGTGAGAGTGAGATCATTCCCACTCATGGCTATGCTACACACCAGGAAATGGATCACTCTGCAAGAAAAACAGAATGAATCAAAATAAATGTTTGTGGGTCATTTTCATAATCAAATGATAAAAAAAATCAAGTATGTATGTGTGTGTGTGTGTATTTATATATATATGCACATATATAAGTATACACAGATACATATATAAAAATCTTTTTAAAGCTAATATAAAAACAAATTTTTAAAAAAACACACTGTTGATACTACTTATTCCAGAAAAAAATTCACCATAGATTTACATCACATACTGTCTTAGAGAATAAAACAAAGAGAAAACATACTTTAACTCAGAGGTTCTAAACCAAAGATACATATCAAAAAGAGCTGGGGGGACTTCTGGAAAATATATAAGCTTAGGCCCCATTACCCTGAATATTTGGCTTTAATAGGTCCAAAGTAAGGCTTACACCTGTTTTTTATTGAACATTACATAGGTGATAATCTGATATGCCTCCCAGGTGGGAAACACAAAAGAGACATTAGGTTAACATCAAACTTTGTCTCATTTTATACATTTTACCCTTTCATTTTAATAGGAATTATAAGATTATATGAGGATATACAAAATGCTTAACAAAAGGGCATAAATTAAAAATTGATAAAAATGGTCTGGCCGTTGTGGCTCAGTGGTTGAGTGTCGACCCATGCACCAAGAGGTCGCCGGTTCGATTCCTGGTCAGGGCACATGCCCAGGTTGCGGGACCGGTCCCCAGTGGGGGGCACGCAGGAGGCAGCTAATCAGTGTTCTCTCTAATCGATGTTTCTAATCTCTTTCTCCCGCTCCTTTCCTCTCTCTATAAAATCAATAAAGAAAAAAAATTTTTTTAATAAATAAAAGTTGAAAAAAATGAAGGGAAATAAAAAGTGGGCCTTATTTCCTTTAAGTATTCCTGATTGGTATTCAGAGAGGAAGTAACATGAAGAAGGAATCCCACTGACACCATATTTTTAAAGACATGAATGGGTGTTAAATTTGAAAATCCCAGCTTTAAGCTGAAAACAGATGATGATCTTGACCTAAACTCAGCTCTTGAGTCTTTTGCCGGGGCCCCGGAATAGATGTGAGGAATGTGACTCCGGTATAAGAAGCACAGATCCTGGGGAGCTAAGGCTAGCAACTGGTAACTTAAAAACAAAATTCTATAGAGAAAATTCCTCACTCTCATACCAACACATCCTGAATCAGTATTCTGTGAATGACATGAATAAACACTACTTCATGGTCATGATTCCAAAGCACTTTCATAATCTTGTTAGTTCACACAATGTCTACAATAATTGCCCCATTCAAGTAAGTAAATATTTACCAATAACAATGATGAGAGAGACAATCAATAAATAGGGCTCCTCTTTCCAACCTAGCAGTTGATGACTCCATTATACTTAATGAGGTAAATGAAATGATAATTTGTTGCTACACAACAAGCAGTAACAGATAACAGAGCGCTGTGCTATTAATGCCAGCCACAACTACAGACCAGAGATATTCTCCCTTTTTTCAATTTTTAGAGGGATGGACAGAAAATGGAAAATACTAGGCTTTTCTTAGAAGGCTAACTCAGCTCAGTTTTATCACCTAAGCTCTCTGCATACTATCATGTTTAAAGAGCTTTTCTCCATTTATACGATATCTCTGAATTAAAACAAAAACCCTTCTAAAGAGAAAAAAGCATTTCCTTTAAGATAAGTAATTGGTTTTCATAATGAAGATTCTATCCTGGAAGAAAAGATGAGATTCTTTAAAGAGATAATTGGTCCCAGTTTCAACAATAATAGTTATAATGAGAAATTATTTTCAGTGATGTTCAAGTTATTTTCAATTGTGTGAAAGTACAGGGAAAGTAAAAGTGAACTTTCACAGAACTGAGCCTAATCAAACTTGATTAACATATTTTTTTCAGCATGGTCTAAAATGGTCAGTGATATGAATGAATTTCAATAATAAGCTAATCTTTAAAATAAAGTAACAGCATTTTCAAGTGTTTCTGTCTATAGAATATTTGGGTTTTATTACCATGAAATTGGTTCAATTTATGTATTTATGTATGTATGTATGTATGTATGTATTTATTTATTTTAACAGGTACTACATCATGGAATTGCTAAAAATATATCATTTCCATATTCTTCCCACCTATATCATTAATGTTAGTGAAAAGATACCATTAAAAAAAAGTGTGCTTATTCCATATGAGCATTTTGAAAGTACACAAATAATAAGAGAATATAAATAGCATTAATGATATCATAAAGCCCAAACCATTTCCTTTTTCTATGTTTCCTTGAAATTTTTAACATAACAGGACATGAAATCTAGTTCCTTTACAGCTACCATTGTCTAACCTTCAAACCCTCATCTTCATTTAGATCCCTGGAAAATACCCATATGTCATACTCTTAAGATTCTATGTCATTTAAAGTTTTTTATTTGCAACAAAGAAACCCTTCTAAAAACAGAAATATCCCATTAAAATGAGAAGAAACATAACTGAATGAAATGTACAGAGAATATAGATTTGAACCCTAAAACAATTATATATCTTAAGGTTTTTAGTATCTCTGAAAGGTAAACACTAAATTGTTCTGAGATTCTCTTAGAAACCTAAATATAAGACATTAGTTTAATAAAATAACTGCAAAAAGTACTTGTTTGTTTAGTGGCTATAATCATATTAGAATTAGTTTTCCAAGGTATAATATTCAGAAAGACAATTGAAAGTATTACAATAAAATCTTAGCGTATAAAGAAATTTGAGCTACCTTTCTCTTTAAATATGAATATTAATAAGAAAGTAAAATTTTTGGGTTTCAAAATATAGGGTAGTTGAATGGACAAGAAAACATGACCCATATGTATGCTGTCTACAAAAGACCAACCTCAGAACAAAAGTCTCACACACCACGATAAAAGTCAAGGTATGAAAAAAACCTTTTCATGCAAATAGAAACAAAGAAAGCTGGGATAGCAAATACTCATATCTGACAAAATAAAGTTCAGAATGAAGGCCATAACAAGAGATAAAAAAAAAAAAAAAATCACTCCATAATACTAAAAGGATCAATCCAACAAGAGGATATTGCCCTGATAAACATATATGTACCAAATATAGGAGCACCAAAAAATATTTTTAAAACTTCTGGAGGACCTTAAGAGAGAGATTGACAGCAATATAATCATAGCGGGGGACTTTAACACCCTGGGTAGATCTTCTAGACACACAAAAATAAAATAAAATAAGAAAAGAAAAGAAAAGAAAAGAAAAGAAAAGAAAAGAAAAGAAAAGAAAAGAAAAGAAAAGAAAAGAAACAGCAACCCTAAAGGACACACCAAATCAGATGGAATTAATTGACAATTACATAACATTTCATGCCAAAGCTGCAGGATATACATTCTTCTCAAGTGCACATGGGACATTCTCAACGATACACCACATATTAAGATACAAACTAAGTCTCTACAAATTCAAGAAGATTGAAATCATACCAAGTATCTTTTTGGGCCACAATGGCATGAAACTAGAAATCAACTACAATAAAAACTCAAAAACATTCAAACACATGGAGGCTGAATAGCATATTATTAAACAATGAATGAGTTACCAATGAGATTAAGGAAATAAAAAACTTCCTTGAAACAAATGAAAATGGACACACAACAACCCAAAATCTGTGGGGCACAGTGAAAGTATTTCTGAGAAGAAAGTTCATACATCTACAGGCCTACCTCAAGAAACAAAAAAATTTTCTAAT